CACCCCGCTTCCCGCCTCGGCGCCCCTGTCTCGCGTGACTGCCCGACCCGCTTCCCGCCTCGGGGCGCCCCTGTCTCGCGTGACTGCCCCACCCGCTTCCCGCCTCGGGGCGCCCCTGCGCTGTGAGGAAGGGCGGCCACCCGCCACCGCCAGCCGCACCGCCAGCGCACCGCACCGCCAGCCCACCTCAGCCGCCACGCCAGTCCACGCCAGGCCGCCACCGCCAGTCGCCACCCCAGTCGCCACGCTACGCCAGCCGCCACGCCACGCCGCACCGCCAGTCGCCACCGCCAGTCGCCACCGCCAGTCGCCACCGCTACGGCAGCCGCACTGCCAGTCGCCACCGCTACGGCAGTGCACCGCCAGTCGCCCCGCCACCGGCCACCGCACCGCCCGCACCACCAGCCGCCAGTGCCACCGCCAGCCACCGCTCGCTAGCCGCCAGCCGCCAGCCTCCAGCCGCCACTGCTCGCCAGCCGCCAGCCGCCACCGCCACTCCAGCGCTGTGAGAAGGGCGCTACCCGCCAGCCGCCACCGCCACCGCCACCCCGAGCTAGGGGTGCCCGAGTGCCGACTCACCTCACGGGGGGGCTGGGGTATCTCTCTCGGGCAGTCACGCGAGACAGGGGCGCCCCGAGGCGGGAAGCGGTGGAGGCCACCGCGGACGGTGGCTCTGGGAGACGCCCAAGACCGGAAAGGGGGAGGGGACCCAGGAAGGGCCCGCGAGGAGCTCAGGGCCCTGCAGAAGGCGGTACAAGGGGCCCCGACTGTGTCTGGGACCCAGGTGTGGCGAGACCTCCTGCTAGCAGAGTAGATACGGACAAGACAGGCGAACCGCCTGATGGCTTCCGGCGCTGTGGAACCAGCTGGCTCCCCACCAGCGGTTCATGGACACACCCCAGAGGCAGGCAGGGAACTGAGACGCCGCCAGAGAGACCCGAAATGTGTGGCTGCAAGATTTTTATGGTTGAAACCCCCTCTTTGATATAGACAAGGGGTTAGGCCAAGGCACCTGGTTAGAGGGGACCCCAGATGACTGGAGGCCACGTGTGGAACTTGCTATTCATTCGTCCCCTATGAATGTGCAGCGGGTTTTGACCTCGGTGGACACAGGAGCTGGCTGCTCCCTGATCTATGGGAACCCTGAGCGGTTTGCTGGGCAGACAGCCCACATACATGGCTATGGTGGGCAGACTGTCCCAGTTAAACAAGTGACTATTCCACTGGGGCTGACCATTTGACCCCCAGGCCTTACACTGTGAATGTGTCCCCTGGAAAAGAATATATCCTGGGTGTTCACATTCTGCCTGCTTAACCCTAACCACCTCCATGGGTGAGTTCTGCCTCCGAGTTAGGGCTGTGAAGCCGGTGGTGTGTGGCCCCGTCCCACCACAGTCTGCCCACGCCTGACCGTGTGGTACACACACAACAGGGTTGCTTGCCCAGGGGGCATGAAGAAATTTCACAAACCATATTGCATCCGGCTCGCAGTCCATTCAAGTCTCCTGTCTGGCGAGTTAAGAAACCAGAGGGAACTTGGAGAATGACAGTGGACCACCGGTAGCTGAATAAAGTGACTCCCGCATGGCATGCTGTGGTGCCATCTATGCTGGATCTGATGGATTAGCTGACTTTGGTGCTTGGACAGCACCACTGTGTGGTGGACTGACGCCTTGTTCTCCACAGACTTAGCTATGGACAGTCAAGGCCAGTTTGCCTTCACATGGGAAGGATGACAGTGGGCATTTGTGGTGTTCCCACAGGTCACCTCCACAGCCCAACCATATGTCATGGTTTGGCGACACAGGATTTGGCCAGATGGAATCGGCCATCCTCAGTGTTTCTGTTTCATTATATTGATGATACAGTGTTAACCTCTGACTCCCTTACAGATCTAGAAGAAGCTGCCGCCAGTCTTCAAACTTTTTGGAACAATGGGGTTGGGCGGTGAACAACTCCAAAGTCCAGGCACCTGGCTTTTTGGTCAAATTCTCGGCTGTTGTCTAATCAGGTAAGACAAGCAATCTGTGAGGCAGTTATAGATAAAACTCAAGCCTTCCCCTGACTCACTATGGTGAAACAGTTACAACTGCTTGTGGGGCTTTGGGAGTATTGGTGTGTATTCATTCCCCACTTGGCCCAACTGTTGGGCCATCATATTGAATATGATGTTAGCTGTGGCCTGTCATACATTGCCTTTATTGTGTTGAGGTCCATGCTTTCTATACCTAATTTGTTGAGTTTTTATCATGAAAGGATGTTAAATTTTGTCAAATGCTTTGTCTGCATCTGTAGAGATGTTCATATGATTTTTGTCCTTCATTCTGTTAATGTTGTGTGTAACATTTATTGATTTGCATATGTTGAACCATCCTTGGGAGAATTTAATCTATTGCTACCTTTTTAGAGCTGAGGGCAGGCAGTCATTCAATTTTGGCTTGCATCTACATTCTAAGCTAACCTGTCAATGAACCAAGCTTAGCTTTTTCCCTCTTTTGACAATATTGGAACTCCCATGCAGTCATAATTATAAGCTGCAGGAGAGAATCACAGTTTTTGATGACATGGGAACCTGTGCCACCTACTTATATTGCTTAATTTTGTCCTCTATTCTTTCTTATGCCCAATTTTTCATGTACTACTACTATCTTATTATAGATTGCTGCTGGACCAGCCTGACCTCATGATGTGGTAGATCTAGCAAAACCAAGCTCATCATGGGAACTTCTAGACACATGGTCATATCCCTTGGCAGGTAGTCCATCTCTACGTAGGTCCAGTAGCATGTCAGGAGCTATTAAGATGCATAGTTATGCTATGTAATTACATGGTATATAATTATCTACATTAGCATAGCCTTTACAGAGAAACCACAGGACTATATTGTGATTCTCCTGTTGGGTTTGCCATAAACTCCACACGGTGTTTCTTCCAGCTGCATATTCCTCTAATACCATGTAGTCTAGATTGTATGGTTCCAATGGTAGGGCTGCTTGCACTGTAGCCTGGACCTGATGCAGAGCTCTTTGCCACCCTACACTTTGTCCAGGTGGCAGCCTTCTATGTCACTTAGCAATATGTCTCTACAGTATTCCTAACTACTAGAATATGCTGCTTCCAAAGCCCAAAGAGGCCTACGGATTATTGTGCTTTCTTTTTATGGTGGGAATGTGAGCTGCAATAATGTGTCCTTTATTTAGACATACCCCAAATCACTGGGCCTCCTAAAATTGTCATTGATGTGGCAGGTCCTTTAATCTTCAGAGGGGTTTTCTCTCACTCTCGGGAATGCATGTGTCTCACCAAGACGTTCAACATGCCACTTCCTACTCACAGTTTTAACTGATAAATACCATGGACAAGTGTGGTGCTCTGAGGAATGTCCGAACAACCCAGGTCTCTGGACTATATGATGACAGAAGGTAGAACTGATACAGATTTTGGACAAGACCCCAGATGTATGCTGTTGTCCTCCTCAGTGAATGTGAATTGCTTCTGACAAATTTCCCTCTAAGTGTTGCTTCAGCTATTTTAAATACATATTGATTTGTAAGCTTTTCATTTTCTTCAATTTTAAATATGTTCTGATTTTTATTATAATTTCTTCTTGGTTCTATAAATTATTTGGAAAACAGTTTTTAACTTCTAAGGTTTATGGATTTCTTTTGGATAACTTTTTGGTATTGATTTCTAATAGTGTTTCTATTCTGTCACCAATGTAAAAATTTGTAAATTGGCCTAATATCTGGTCAGTTTTCATAAACAGTTCAAGTGTGCTTGAAAAGAATAGTAAGTCTTTAATTGTTGATTTGTCTAATTTTATATCCATTTAGTCAATTATTAGGAATAAAGTGTTAAAATCTTTCACTGTATGTGTGGATTTATTACTCTTTGCAATTCTATTAATTTTGGCTTTTTTGAGGACATATTATTATTAAGTATTTACAATTTTAGATTTGATATATATTCCTGGTGGATTTTTACTACAATTATTATGTAGTAGTGAAAGGGGTAAGTTTGAGGATTTCCACTCTGATCAAGGAAAACGATAGGGCCATGAGATAGCAGCAGAGCACACAAGCTTGATTGGGGTGCTCTGTGGACAGGTTTGCACTCCGGGGAGTCACAGCAAGAGCCAGATCAGAAGCTTGAGGCAGAGGGGCCACCGCCCTGAAGGGGAGGAGGGCAAGGGAACGCCTAGGACAAAGGAGGCCTCAAGAGGGGCTCCTGTTGTTTCTCGGTGGTGTCACCCAGCAGCATGGCATGGTGTCTCTGGGCCAGAGAACTCCAAAGAGCAGCAGTGGCTTGGGGCCTTTATGGTCTGGTCTTTATAGGGTGATGAGCAGATTTGGGCATAGTTTCATGGGATATACAAAGCAGTCAGGCTCTAAATGGGTAAAAATACGCCTGTTTGGGCTATGTTTAACACAATGGGATGTGTTAAAATTTAAGTTTGGTGCCAAAGGGATTTCGTCTTAGCCTGCTGTGAAGAAAGAGACAACCCAGGGCCAATATGCAGAGGCCATCCTGGTGCCATTTACATCACATGTCCTGACTGTTTTTAGCCTTTTGTGCTCACAATTGTTTATTATATTTTACTTATTTTTTAGGTTTATTTTTACTGATACTATTTGGTAGATAATATTTCAGTTGATTGTGGTCAGCTACAATGTTCATCACTTATTGTTATTCAAACTGCTCAAATAGGAATTTCACTCCCTTCTTTGTCCCCCTTTAAACAAAATTGCTCTGGGTAAGGTTACTAACGTGACCTTCATGTTACCAAATCCAGTTAATGTTTTAAATTTTCTTATTGTGTATACACGTATATAAAAATTCAAATTAGGGTATCATACATGGAATTTAGTAGTTTTCTTACCTTTTTTTTTGGTTTATTCTGTTCATTAACCCTTTGTTGTAAGCCACATGTTCACTTCCTCAATATTTATAATGTATCGCTGATACTTGACTTTATCTTTTTGTCATATTAGTGTAATCTTCGGTCATATAGGGTTTCCCTTGTCTTTAGTGTCCTATTTTCTCTCCCTCGGACTTCTCTCTCTGCATCCCCTCTCTCTATATACAATATTTAAATAATTTTAAAAATCATTTTTTTGTGTCATATCAAAATCTTCAGTGTAAATTAAGGGTCCAATTTTGTTTTCTTTGAATTGAAACAACACATTTGTCCTATATTAAATTGTCATCTATATCTAGATTCTCAATTATTTTCTACCATTCTTGCTTATACTTCATTAATACAATTATTTTTCATATATTGACTTGATTCCAATAGCTTTTTAGTAGGTGCTGATACCTGGTGAGAAAAATTCCTCTCCCTAGTCTTTTTTATTTTTGGTTCAATTTTCTTATTCTTCTACAGGAACTTTAAGATAATTTAATCAAATTTTTAAATGTTTTTGTGATTCTAATGTGAATTTTATGGACTATATATATAATTTTAGAGGATTAATGTTTTTATAATAGTAGGTATTCTTTTCATGTGTCCACGTCTTACTCAATTGTTTTTGTAAATTTATTTTACCTTTATTATTTTTGCTATTGTGAATGAAATATTTTCCCACTAACATTTATTGCTAACAAATTTTGTATATTCATCTTGTTTCCCACTAGCTTATGAAAATCCCTCTTAAAATATTTTAAAATTGTTTTTCCTAATCCCTACGGTTTCCTAGGAATATAATCATAACAACAAAAAGTTTTCTATTTTCCTGTATTTGTGCTGATCCTTTCATTTTAAAATCTTGTTACATTCATGGATTCTCCAAGATTATCTTTGATATTAAATAATGACAATAGCCATTCCTGGTAGTTCCCAATTTTAATTGAAATGTTTTGTTTTACAATTTAAAATATTTGTTGGAGGTATTTCATAAGTAACCTTTATGTTTAAATACTTTCCTTCAATTTCTACTTTACTCACAGATCTTCATTAGGAATGGCTTTTATTTATTTTCTTTCTTTATTTTTTTATTTGAAATCTTTTTTGTTGTTGTTTTTGGTTTTTTATTTATTTTTTCCAGCATATTATGGGAGTACAAATGTTAAGGTTATGTATATTTCCCTTGGCCCCCTCCCCCCTCGAGTCAGAGCGTCACATGTGTCCATCACCCAGTTGGTGTGCATCACACTCATTATGTATGTATATACCCTTCCCCTCCCCCACACACACCTGCCCCACACCCATAGATGTTATTCCTATATGTGCACTCATATGTTGATCAGTTAATACCAATTTGCTGGTGAGTACATGTGGTGCTTATTTTTCCATTCTTCAGATACTTCACTTAGTAGAATGAGTTCCAGCTCTAGCCAGGAAAATACAAGAGGTGCTAGATCACCATTGTTTCTTATAGCTGAATAGTACTCCATGGTATACATATGCAACATTTTATTAATCCACTCATGCATTGATGGGCACTTCGGTTGTTTCCACATCTTTGCAATTGTGAATTGTGCTGCTATAAACATTCAAGTGCAGGTGTCTTTTTCCTAGAGTGACTTTTGTGCTTTTGGGTAGATGCACAGTAATGGGGTTGCTGGATCAAATAGTAGATCCACTTGTATCGCTTTAAGACATCTCCATATTGCTTTCCACAGAGGTTGAACTAGTTTGCAGGCCCACCAGGAATGTAGGAGTGTTCCTATCTCTCCACATCCATGCCAACTTTTATTGTTTTGGGACTTGTTAATAAAGGCCATTCTCACTGGAGATAAGTGATATCTCATTGTGGTTTTGATTTGCATTTCCCTGATGATTAGAGATGTTGAGCATTTTTTCATATGTTTCCGGGCCATTAGTCTGTCTTCTTTTGAGAAGTTTCTGTTCATGTCCTTTGCCTACTTTTTGATATGATTGTTTGATTTTTTCTTGCTGATTTTCCTGAGTTCTAAATAGATTCTAGTTATCAGCCCTTTATCAGATGTGTAGCTTGTGAAAATTTTCTCCCATTCTGTGGGTTGTCTGTTTGCTCTCAAGACAGTTTCTTTGGCTGTGCAGAAGCAAAGAAAAGTCCCGGACCAGATGGTTTCACACCTGAATTTTACCACACCTACAAAGAAAATCTGGTGACTATCCTGCAGAAATTATTCCACAACATTGAGAAAGATGGAATCCTCCCAAACACATTTTATGAAGCCAACATAACCCTGATACCAAAACCAGGAAAGGATGCAACAAAAAAAGAAAACTACAGACCAATATCCCTTATGAATATAGATGCACAAAAACTCTCAACAAAATTCTAGCTAATCAAATCCAGACGCTTATCAAGAAAATAATACATCACAACCAAGTGGGCTTTATCCCAGGGATTAAGGGATGGTTCAACATACACAAATCTATAAATGTAATTCACCATATAAACAGAAGCAAAAACAAAGACCATATGATCCTCTCAATAGATGCAGAAAAAGCATTCGACAAAATTCAACACCTTTTTATGATAAGAACACTTAACAAAATAGGCATAGACGGGGCTTACCTAAAAATGATACAAGCCATATATGACAAACCCACAGCCAACATTATACTGAATGGGGAAAAATTAAAAGCATTCCCAATTAGAACTGGAGCAAGACAAGGTTGCCCACTATCTCTACTTCTATTCAACATAGTGCTGGAATTCCTTGCTACAGCAATCAGAAAAGAGAGTGGAACTAAAGGCATCCAAATAGGAGCAGAAGAGATCAAACTCTCACTCTTTGCTGATGACATGATATTATACCTAGAAAACCCCAAGGATTCAACCAAGAGACTCCTTGAACTGATAAATGAATTTGATAAAGTCTCATGATACAAAATCAATACATACAAATCAGAGGCATTCATATACACCAACAACAGTACAAGTAAGAACCAAATCAAAGACTCAATTCCCTTCAAAATAGCAACAAAGAAAATAAAGTACCTTGGAATATATTTAACTAAGGAGGTAAAAGACCTCTACAGGGAGAAACTATAGAAACACTGAAGAATGAAATAGCAGAGGATGTAAACAGGTGGAAGAATATACCATGCTCATGGGTTGGCAGAATCAACATTGTTAAAATGTCTATACTACCCAAAGTGACCTACAGAATCAATGCAATCCCTATCAAAATACCATCATCATTTTTCACAGCTATAGAAAAAATAATTTTACACTTTGTATGGAACCAGAGAAGACCCCGTATAGCAAAATCAATCCTACGCAATAAAAACAAAATAGGAGGTATCAATTTACCAGACTTCAAACTATACTACAAGGGTAGTCATTAAAACAGCTTTTTACTGGCACAAGAACAGGGACATTGACCAGTGGAACAGAACAGAGAACCCTGATATAAAACCATCCTCATACAGCCATCTAATCTTTGACAAATCAGACAAAAACATACACTGGGGAAAAAAACTCCTTATTCAATAAATGGTGCTGGGAAAACTGGATAGCCACATGTAGAAGACTGAAACAAGACCCACACCTTTCACCTGTCACATAAATCAACTCACGTTGGGTAACAGACTTGAACCTTAGGTGTGAAACTATTAGAATTCTAGAGGAAAATGTTGGAAATACTCTTCTAGACATTGGCCTAGGCAAAGAATTTATGAAGAAGACCCCAAAGGCAATCACAGGAATGGCTTTTAAATCTTAGCAATTATCTATTGATATGGTCGTGTTTTCTACTTTAATTCATTTGTGTAATTGTGTTAATAAATTAACTGGTACTGATAACGCTGTTAAATCCTGAAATTAGCCGGGCGCTGTGGCTCACGCCTGGTAATCCTAGCTCTTGGGAGGCCGAGGCGGGCGGATTGCTCGAGGTCAGGAGTTCAAAACCAGCCTGACAAGAGCGAGACCCCG